ATGTGGTCTCCAGCATAATTTCTATCACCACAGCCATATTTTCCAAATACTGGCCCTTCCTCTTTGTTTCCAACCTTCGTATTTCAACTACCAGTGATTATTAATGCATATTGATTGAATATTTTATCAATTTCAGACAGAAGATATTGACAGAATTCTTCAATTTCATCATTACTAACTTTAGTAGATGGAGCATAACTTTGAATAATTGTGGCATTAACGGGTTTTCCTTGTGTTGCTGTTGAGTGCTGAGTCAGTAGAGTCAGTTCTGACTCATAGCGACCCTGCATAGGATTTCCAAGGAGCAACTAGTGGGTTTGAACCACCAACCTTGTGGTAAACAGCCCAGTGTTGATCCTACGGCACCACATCAGGACTCTGGTCTTCGTTGTAGGTCTATGAATATTATCCCATCACAGACAGCATTGTACTTCAAGATAGAGCTTGTAATGCTCTTTTTGATATTTTAATAGTTTTTCTGTATAACTAATTGCTGTTAATGTTTACTTTCACCTTTATTGCCAAGTAACTGCAATCCTGTCCATGCCTCCAGGCTCTCCTCCCAAGCATCCTCAGCCACCAAGAGTTCTTTGATCTTTCCCCTCTCAGCTTTGATGCTTATATTCAGTTAGCAATTGTTACTCATTACAAAGGCGGTCATTGTAGTTCTTTCCGGGTTCTCTTCCCTTCCTCTCCACAGGTTGTAAACTTTGAGAGGTTTGGACGAAGGTTCAGATCCTCTTTTACCTACCCTTACCCTCCAGCTCTGGGCCCTGGAGAAAAGAGCCGTTTAGAGACTCCTTGGCAGGCGGGTCTGAGGGCACATTCTGACCTTGGACTCGGAGGTGGGGTGTGGTGTGTGCGTTGGCCTTTCCCTGCCCAGTGTTTAGTCCTTGTTGTTAAGTGCCGCCGTATAGTCAGTTCTGACTCATAGCGACCCTGTGTAGGTTCCCAGCAGCGGCTAGTGGATTTTAACCCCTAACCCTGCGTCAGGCAGCTCAGTGCTTATCCTACACGGCCACACCAAAACTCTTTGGGAGGAGGGGGGAAGCAGGTATCAGCGCTTGCGCAGGCGCAGTGACTTTCCGGGCGAAAGAACTGACGGCCCAAAACTTGAGTGGGCGCAGGGGTGGAGCCTAACACAGTTCTTGCACGTTTAGGGCGCTATAAGATCTGCACTACCAACCGAAAGAATGGCTGTTCAAACCCACCAGTAGCTCCTTGTATCCCCTATAGTGGGCCTCTATAAATCCAAACTGACTAGCCGACACTTAACAGGACAGACAGGCCGGTAAGGAGGCGCAGTTACTATCGAGCTGCTGCTTAGAAGCTTAGTCAGAGCGTGCCATCTGCGTTGTCGGGTGCTGCGGAGGAGAGGGCCGGCCGAGCGGGTGTTGGCTAGCTACTGGCTGGGCCAGGCCAGTGGTTCTTCTGCCTGCAGAGCTTCAGCGGACTCGTCCTGACGGGCCGAATTTTCATTCCTGTTCTCTCAGTTCCAGCCTTTTGACTCCCGACATCGACTTCGCAGGGGAGGAGAGTCTCCATCACCACCACCCTACCCACTGGCATTGGCACAATTGTGCGAACTGGGCTTCCAGGCTCCTACCAGGCTGTCCCCAGACTAGATATTAATAAAAGGCAAACCTAAACACATGCTTGGCTTAAACCGCCAGTGCCCTCCTAGGCAGAAACACCAGGATCCACTTTAAACCCTGCGGATGAGACATTTGTGGTGAGCTTCTGTGCATCTTCCCAGCCACTTCTCACCGAATACTGCAGTCATCCTTTCAGCTTGGTGCTTCTGCATGATCGTTCCTTCTACCTGAATGCGCTTGCCCATGAAACCCTCTTATTTCTCTAGTGGCGCAGTTCTGACCTCACGCCCACCCGGAGCCTTCCCAAGGCACCCACACTGCCCCATCCCTGATCTCACCTCTGGCTTACACCTTAACATCTATTTCCTGGTTCATGGTCTATAAACAACTTCATGGCAGAGACTGGTGTTTTTGGTTGTTTTGTTTTTTTTGATGTGTATCCTCAGGGTCTAGCACAGTGCACATAGATAAGAGGTTCAATAATTGTATGTTGAAGAAATCAGAGTATGGACTTGAAGGCTCAAAAATGAGTATTAAAAACTATCCCCTGGGTTGCAGTATTGTGGGCTCACCAGGGACATGGACTATCTTTTTCACCTCTGAATCCTGATAGTTAACTAGGTGATGCTCCTTTTAAAATATGTGAATAAATTCAAGATGACAAGTGAAGTGAAGTCATTTGGTTGGGATCCCATCACAAGCCTGTGGAGCAACTGTGCAGTCAGTAAAGGCAGGGCAGTGGGCCTCAGGGGCCAATCAGTGAAACTCCAGACAGGCTTAAAAGGTGTGTTTGTATGTGCGGTGTTACAGACAAAGAAGACACCAAATCCAAGAGGTGTTTACTGTAATGAGTGTTCAAGGAGGGTGGGGTTGGGCGGGGTTCCTCCATCTGATCCTCCAAGGTTTTAGGATGACTCATTCTTCATTGGGCTCTAGGGTGGAGCTGATATTTGTTTCGTGAGTTGGGTCCTGCTCCCCCTGGCCTTTGGAATCCCCAGTGTCTCCAGCCACAAGAGCCACATTCCTCAGATAATTGATGTTAAAGCAGTTGGTCTGTTCATCCCCAGGACTCAAGTCACAGCAGAGAGCAGGGTCTCGCCAGGAGTTACGTCGGGGCCCACACAGGTCATCAATGAAGGCTGATTTCTATGCAGGAGAGGCAGAGTAAAGCAGAAGTCAGTCACAAAGACTTGGCTGTCCAAAGTCCCCCTTCCTTCTGTTTCTACCCATCTCCCTCTGGACCTTCTAGAGTACAGACAGGGTGCAAGGCTGCCTCCTTGCCCAGCTGACCTCCTTGGAGCAGTCAGATTATGCATATCTAGAAAAGAAGCTTGTGGCTCAGAGAAGGCATAATGGGAGTTGAGGGGTAGGAAGTTTAGGTCTGCTGCTGTAGCCCTTTCCTTCCTCCCCCACCCCCCTGCATTTCTTGGAAGTCTGTGATCCTCCCTCCCCCTACACTCACTTCTTCCTCAGCACAGCAGGCCTGCTCTGGAAAAGGCAGGTCACAGCATCGGGTAGTCATGTTTCTGATCAGCCCAGGAATCTGTTTACTATGTCAGTGGGAAAGAGGCAAGAGTCAGGGCATCTGCAGCCATCAAAATGGTGCTGGGAAAATCATTGATTTTGCTCTTCCCACAGGTGTCCCAGAAGGGAGGGTTTTGGGGAATGAAGAAAGTTAGGGAAGATTTGGGCAAAACTTACTGCTTGCTGAGAACCCTTTGGTTTCCACACAGATGGTTCATGAGGTTGGGGCTGACTCGGCTGAGGTCAAGGGTCATGATGTCCCGGTCATAGTTGGGGTAGGGAGCCCGACGAGCAAAGCACTCGTCACGGGCGGGGCTAGGAGGGTAGCGGCAACACGAGTGGTGGTGGGTCTTCACAGCCTGCTCGTTGTCACAGTAGCCATCAAGGGCATCCTCCCACTGTGGGCCAAAGACAGGGAAGTCAAAGACCTGGACACTTGGTCCTTTTTGTTTGGCCCTCTGATTCCCTTATTGCCCCAGACTATGAGATGAGGGGCTTCCAACATCAGGTTCTAGGAGGGGAGGGCAAAGAACCAGAGGATGAAGCAGCTGAGGATGTGTGGGGTTGGGAAGGTGAAGCACAAATGAGGTGTGGAGTTGGTCATGGGAGGAGATGAGCTGAAACAGTAGATGGAGAGGGTCAGGTGAGGCCAGTGCTGAACGGATGGATGTCAGACAGGTGCATGGGTGGTGCCATGGGTGGACGCAGTCAGGAGTGTAGGATGAAGGTTGAACACGAACAGACTCAGATGGTGAACACAATGGTGGGCGAACAGTCACAAACAGATGAACAGGTGTACGTGCTCACAGCGGGGAGGTACATGGATGGATGGACCAGCAGGATCAGAAGTCGGAGATGGGCAGGCAGGCAGACAGGTTCTCGGGGTGCTGGGATACCCACTTACGGCCTTCTGTGTACAGGTATGGTTCTCTCCCTGGCGGCAGCAGCGCTGGAACTGCACCTCCAGCTGGGTCAGAGCCCGCAGCTGCCTTTGGATATGGTCAGTAGCTGGGAGGTTGTGTGGCACAAAGCGCAAGCGTCTCAAGTGGCAGATGTTCTTGAAATTGTCCAGTGTGGGAATCCCCGGGGGGAAAGGCAGCTCAGGGCCCAAGGAAATACCAGGTTGTCGGCTAGAGCAGGCCCGGGATTGGTAGTGTGGTTGGGGAGCTTCCTTCTGGAAGCAGGCAAATCGAGCCTCTCCTTGCTGTTGGCAGCACGCATGGGCCCGGGTCTTGACTGAGAACTCAGCCTCACAGAACTGGGTCATAGCATCCTCCCACTAAAGCAAAAGGGGAAGGTCAGCCCAGAAATCCATTGTCCACATTCCTGCTTCCTGCTCAGGCTCCAGAAAAGGATTCTGGGCAGGTAGACAAAGACTCCAAGGTTCTCCTCATCATTCCTGGCACACGGACGGGGAGGCTTGAGAGAGGGTCACTGAAAGACACTTGAGGTTCCTTCACGCCCAAGTCTAGATCTCTAGCCCTGAAAACAAACTGTTTGGGATTAAACAACCGCCCCGCTGCCTCACCCCTGGATCAAAGCTCAACCCTTACCACAAGTTTTGCGCAGTCCAGACAGCTTGTGTTGCTGCGGCAACGGCAGCACCGAGAATATCCAGTCTCCAGTAAATTGAGGGTATTACCCTGGCGAGTGAGGTGAGAAAAGCCAGTCTGGGGCAGGTTCCAGGGGCCATACACGATATGTTGACGGTCAGGGAGGCAAATCTGCTTCAGATTCTCTGGAGAAGGTCGTCCAGGGGGAAAGCCATCTAGCCGGTGACCCCAGCCCCCTCGGGGTCGACCTCGGTGGCAGTGCTGGGCTGGATTCCAAGACTCAGGCTCTGCGTGACCCCGGCCCTTGAGGGGGGCTGACTTTTCTAGAATTGGAGAAATGGTGGGAAAGGGACCATGTGGAAGAGTAGACAAAGGATGGATAAGTTGGAAGGATTGGAAGAACTTGGGGTTGGGAAGATAGAGGGGAAAAGGAGGAATTAATTTGTGGCTCTTACCTCCTTCAGACTGACTGACTAGAGTTTAAAAAAAAAAAAAAAAAAGGTCTCCATGAGACATGAAAAGTGTCACCCTCACAGCCCCCTTCTCCAAATCAGGCCCTACTGCCTGCCAAGCCTCAGGCTCCCTGTCCCAAAGGTTCTGTGTTCTAAAGCCAGGGAACGGGCAGACCAAAGCTGTCACTCACCCTCTTTCTGGTTAGGTCGGAAGATCACTTCCTCTTGATGTAAGAAAGGTGGGCCTACTGGGGTAGAAGAAGCTGGATAAGCAGAGGTGATGGCCCACCCCCACCCCATGTTGGAATGGGCATCTCTAGAAGTCGGGGGGGGGGACCCTGGTTAGTTACCATTCAGAAAGAGGAGCAAGTCAAATGACCTGCTATTTTCTATGATACATAAATTTATAAAATAGGTATTATTTCCCCAATTTTAGAGATGAAGAAACTGCCCAAGCTAGTAAGTAGCATAGTCTACTATCTTGTCTGCCTCCAAAGTTCATGTTCATCATGCCATGGGGCAGATGAGTGGGTAGAGTAAGAACTCATTTACCTTCTTTTTGTTCAATTGGGAGGTGGGGAGGGGGCAGGTCTTTTTGAAGGGGGATGGCTTCCTTGGGAAGACGGTGATCTAATGATGAGACAAAAGTGAGGGCACAAAGGAGCAAGGATCAGCCTGGTGTCAGGAGGCCCCAAGGTGGGGGCAGAGGCTAGGGAAAAGGCCAGCACTCACCTCTCCTTTCAACAGGGAGCTGGGGAGGCAGCAGCTCTTCTTCTTGAGCAGGAACAGCCTCTTGGGAGGGAGGGGGCTGCACTATAGAAGGGGAGTATGTGAGCCATTGAACCCTTCTCCTAGGCAGGGAAAGGGAATATCCCTTCTCTCCATCTGAAGACCAGAAGCCCAAGTACAAATTTGGAGGCAAATGCCTGAGAAGAATGTCTGGTGGGGACTTACCTTCTCTCTGTCCCTCAAAATAATGTCCAGGCTGAGATGAGTCAGGGTGATCTATGGGGAGAGTTCTGGTCTGAGGTGGGGAAGGAGGTGCTGCATAGCCAACTAGAGGTAAGAGGGGAGGCAGTCAGATCACAATTCCCCTGGACCTGAATCCCATGTTCCTTTCCTAAACTCTTACCTTCTTGATGGTGCTGGGTGAGACGCTCTGGCTTCAGTTCTCTCTGTCCGGAAGCAGTGAGGCCTAAGGGAGGATGGGGGAGGTTGAGGAGGTCGTGCGTAGGCAAAGATGACCAAGACACCAAGAACCCCACTGCATTATTCCTGCTGTGCCTCCTAGTCTCCCCCTACTTAGATGTAACCAACTGGGTTCTAAGAAAGATGGTGATATAGTGATAGTCCCTGCTCCTGCCCAGTCTGGGAATATGACATATTCAGCCTCATCTCCTGTTAGTGTCTTTCTCTCAGGGCTTCTGGGCTCTCTTCCCCATAGCATCTCTGCTGTGATGCTTTTCTGGTTTAGAGTGAAAAGTGTGGACCCTGGGCTGGTTGGAGCCTCACCTGTCCAACACCTCCAACCACCCTCCACCTCATCTTTTGAGCCTCTTAGACTTTCAGCTAAGGAGCCCTGCCTGGAAGTTTAAGTGCCTTCCCTTCAGCTAGACCCAGCTCCTCCTACCCAGGCTGGTTAGGATTTGAGGGACTGGGATGATTAATGACACAACCACAGAGAACTGAGTCAATTATAGGTGATCTACAAGCACAAGAGACTAGAAGAGGCGGGCAGAGTGAGACAGGACCTTCCAGAGATACAAACTAGACATTGTCTCAAAAGTTTCTTTCAAGCACTCCGTTTGGCTCAGGCACCAAAGCAGATAAAGAATGTGTGTGTAGAATGTGTGTACTAGGTGTCTTGTGTTTGGAGGTTCACCTGCCCTCTGCGGACAAATACCCCCTTCACGCCTCCCTAAATAGACAACAAGTCAGTCACAGCTCCCTGGGTCCTTACATCAGTTTTTAGTGGCCTGAGGGCCTCTTCCTTCTCCTGCCCTGAGGTCCCTCACATGCATTTTGAGACAGAGGCCCCTCATTCTTAATCTTCTACCCATTCAAGAGGTTCCCATTTGACATAAATTTTGTGATTTGGGGCATCCATCTTTAAGAACACCTCTATCTTTTCCTGCTCTGATCTTCTCTCCTTGGTTAAGGGCTCCTGTGCCCCCTCCTCACCCTAGGCTTGCTCACCCAGGCCAAGGGGAGTATCACCTTGCTGGTGATGAGCTCTCTAGGACACCTGGTCCCAGGTCCCAGGCCTGTGCCAGCCAGACCTCTTCCCAGGTACTCAGGCCAATCCCAACTCACCTCCTGAATCTGCAGAAGCAGCAGCCAAATAGGCCAAGACCAATGCTGCTCTGAACACGGTCCCCATCCTGGGGCAAGGTCTGGTCAACTGGCCACCCAAGAGGTAGATTCTCTCAAGCAGATACGATTTGAAGGGCTGGGCTGCTGGGAGCCTGCTTCTCAGGTTGCAGTTACTGATGTTGTGAACTTCAGGGCTGGTCCTCCTCTTTATGTCTGGCTGTAGCTCCGCCCCTCCAGCTTCCTGCTGTGACTCAGTCCCAGCTGCTCCTCCTCTGGCAGCCACTCCTCCTAAACTCACCCGAAGGCCTCCACAGAGAACTGAGAAGAATGGGGGTGATGGGAGGGAAGCATTCTTATGACCCCAAGAGAAACAGATTCTGAGAATCATGGAGCATAAGATGTTGGGGATTTTATTTTATACCTCAGTTTTTCCATGTGCTGCCCTCTGTGGAGAAAGAAGTTGACAAAGTATTGAACTGGGGTCTGGGGTTGAGGAAACAGAGCACTAAGAACTCTACAGTGGGCAGTAGAACAGCCATCCCAGTGAGACCCAGGCTGTCCTTTTTCAGTTTTCCCAACCTGCTGGGACAAAAAAGAGATCCAGCTCCCTTTTTTCTCCCTCTCAGGAGTCAAAAATGAAGACACATATACCTGGTAGCTTAAAATTTATTATTTCTGGTTTCACTCTTCTCACATTCAAACATCTACAGCATTCTTGCCTCTCTCTCCAGGGTCACCAAAGCAAGTCTTGGTTCAAAAGAGAACTGAGGCAGGGAAACTTCTGAAGGATCTGTGGGACTCTAGACTGTCATTTGAGATGGGTTGTTGCCCCCCACACCCCTCTCCAGGTGATGGAAGTTGGTAGCTCCTGTAGATCTCATCTCTGTACAAAGGCTCAGAATATTTCTTCAGCATTTGGGACCCTGGTGTTCTGTAGCTCTAGCAGCCGGCCCACAGCCTCAGTCAAGTTGCGCTCCCCAAGTAAACGATTCTCTCGAGTCCGAATATTCACTGTTCTCCTACTTTGCTCTTTCTGACCAACCACTGCAGGAAGAGACAGATCTGTTAATTTCTGGGCAAATGTATCCATATGGAGTATTTCTCTTCACTGTGCAAAAATTTATGAGATCTAACTCTTTAGGAAGGGTGGGAACGGGGACCAAATATGGTTCAAAGAAAGGATAAATTTAGTTGTCCCTTGCTCTCCAGTTCTCTGCTCATCCTGAAGTGATAAGGACATATCCCACACCATTCATTCCCCTATGTGTCTTATCACTTCCAGTCAGGAGCCCCAGAGTCAGCCAGATAAAGACAAGCAGATCAAGAATCAGACAGAAGGAGAAACTGTGTGTAGGGTGTAGGGAGGAGGGGAAGGAGGTTGAGAGGAAGGGGAAGATGGCAAGGGTGGAACACACATATATATGCAAGTCCATGAAATTAAGGAAGGGCTTGTGGAGCAGCCTGCTCTAAGTGCTAACAGGGTGAGGGGGTGTATAAAGCTAGAGAATCAGGGAGACTGGAGTGGAAGTTCTGTTCCTGTCTTCAAGACAGAGCTCAGAGCCCAGGAAATTAAAATGAGCAGGAACAAGGTAGGACTAGACTTTTCTCCCTAAGGTATTTCTTCTCAGGATGACTCTATCTAGGTCTAAGATAAACAAAGCTAATTAATTAACACCTTATTAACCTTCCAGTTCCTTTCTCTCTCATGATGCCTTGGTTAATTAACCTAACAGCCACCAAGAGCTAGGATGGGGGTAAGAGGAAACTGTTGTAAGGTTAGAAGTGGTTGTAGGGGTGAAGGAACCTGGGGCCAAAATGAGTCAGCTGTCCTGAATTCTAGTTCCTTTGATCAGGTAATGAGTCTCAATTAACCCAAATATGCAGTTAACCAAACCTAATAGACAGGAAAGAAGAATGCAGATGGCAGGAGAGCTGAGGGCTCTGAGGTCCAGGGTTCTAGCTGTTCCACTCACTTACCAAACTGAAAATTGTAGTGGGCAAGTTGGGCCCGGCGGACTCTCCGGCTGAGGGTCAGGCCAGAATCAGCATCCAGGTCACCAACCAGTCCTACGGCCTGTAGGCTCTGTTGTGCCTGGGGCAGAGGTTTGGTGACAGGAACTTAAATTAATGGAAGGCTGAAGAGCTAGAACAGTCTGATGCCAATCTTCCCCAAGTCTCCCCATCCATTCCTCCTTCTCCAATTCTCACCAAAAATTTCTCATTTCATCTCCATACTGAGGTCTCTACCTCACCCTCACCTATTGCAGCTCTTTCATCTGCCTCCTATTGAGAACGAGCTCCCCCCACCCGACCCGCCCAATCCCCTGGACTTTGCCTGCTTTAGCCACCACTCTACCCAGCCAACTGCTCAACTCTGGTACCACTCACACCCTTGATTCTCTCCAGAAAGGAAAAATAAAGCCTTTTTATTTACCCTGCTCTGCTTTTGTGTCAAATATTATTGACAGTTTTTAACATTTGTACTTTAATTTTCACACATTCCCCTCAAGGAGGAATAAGCTTTTTAGGTGTAAATTTTTAGGCCATGTGCACTGGTGGTACATAGGAGTGCTGCCACTCAAGCCCAGTGCTGTGCCTTCCCACCGGTGTGGCCTCTTCCCACCCATTGTTGGCCATGGACTCCCTATTAGTCCTGCCGCTCCTCCGTCCCTGCCCCAGCCCCTCACCTCCCTGGCATATTCCTCCTGCTCAGGCCCCACAGGGATAACGACCACCTGGAACGGTGATAGCCACAGTGGCCTGGTTGGGAGAGAAGAGAGGAGGGTGAATGATTTATGCTGGTTCTCGTCAGAAGTGTGGGGATGTACTGTGAGACTGAAGCTGCGAGGAGCAGAAGTGAGAAGGAAATAGAAGCCGGGGTTTGAAGAAGAAGATTTGATCTGAGGGCCTGGAATCAGAGGTCTTACCATTTCCCCCCACAGCTTTCTGCCAGCACTCCCAACATTCTTTCCACGGAGCCTAGCACTGCTCGGTGAATGAGGACAGGCCGCTCCAGGGCCCCCACATGCCTTGGAGGGAACAAAGGAGAAGGAGTGGAATTAGAAAGGTACAAATCGTACCACTCTCCAGTTTTCAAGATACATTCTCCCCCTGGGAGAGGAGGGTGTTGAGGATTTGATTCAAGTTTTAGGATCAAAGGTGGAAGACGGTATTGTTCTCCACCTGTTCCATGGGCTGCCAAGGGAGAAGGGACAGGATACGGTTTCTATACCCTCTGTACTGGAGATCAAATCTCAGGGGTAGTTGAAAGTCCAGTTGGATTGTCCCACACTGATGGGGCCGCCCCAAGGCATCCTGGAGGTGCACATCAATCTGGAAGACAAAGATGAGAGGCATAAAATCAGAGCCAGTACCCTCCATTGTCCCTGCCACTCACCCTCTCAGTGTACTCATGTCCCAGGCTGTTTTGAGAGTCAAGTCACCCAACTGTATTATACTCACACCTCTAGTTCACTCACCGGGGACCATGACAGTGGCTCACAGTGGCTTTCTCATTTAAGTCCTATTTAACTTCAGGGACATCAACATTCACATGACTGATCACACCCTGGCCTCTCAACTTTTTGAGCGCCTCAGCTCAGTGACCTTCAACCCCACGCCCACCTCAGTGGCCCAGCATGGCTGCACTTCTTGTCATCGCCCAGCATGGCTGCACTTCTGAAGCCTTCCATCAGTCACCCTGCTCTGGCTACTGTCTCTCAGCTTTCTTGCTCAGACAATTAGTCCTATTACTAGTTCTTCAGCCTACAGGTTCTCTAATGCCTTCTTTTTCTTTCATCCATAGACTGCTTCCACATTTTTTTTTCTGTCCCATGCATTTTTTTCCCTGACCTCTTCTTCTTCTTCTTCCATACCACACAGCAAAACTCCAACCTGAGGCCACCCTAGCCTCCCACCTCCTTGGCTTTGCAACAAAGCTACTCAATGCTGTTCAACACATCACACACCACACCGATGCAAAAACAGATACTGAGATCAGTATGGAAGTCACTAGTTAAAAGTCTCAACTGGATCATCACTTCTACCAAAATCCTTTGGTTGCCCTACACAGCTCCTGTCCACAGTTCTCCTCAGGGATGGTCATGCTTCCTCCTCTCTACATCTACAGGCCCCTCACTGACAACTCTCTTCTCCCCCACTCCTATCTCAGGAAAGGAACTTGTCTCCTAACTCATGGAGAATTCTCATTATTGATATCATGAGATGGGAAACTGCTTTGATTTCCTGTCATTGCTGTAAACTTCCTTGCCTCCACACCCAGCGTTTCCTCCCACCTCCAATATAGTAGCAAATGTGGCTCCTTCTATAGAGGACTGTTGAGTCCACCCTTTCAGCCTCTCCAGGAACTTTCCTTATATTATCTGTAGCTCCTTTTCCTACAACTTTAACTTCTTCACCCAAACAGGCTGCCTCACTTCAGAGAACTGAAACATTCACAAGTTTCTACCTCTGACCAGTCAGGCTCCTTCTGCTATTCTCATTTGCCTTTATCAGAGCTAAAATTATTACTTCTAAAATAAATTATATTTTGTTGTTATTGAGAATACATATAGCAGAACATACATCAACAATTTCTACAAGCATAATTCCATGACATTGATGACATTCTTCAAGTTGTACAAACAGTCTCACCTTCTGTTACACCAAACAGTCTCCCTTCATTAATATAAGCTCACCTAAATTTCCTATCTAGTCTTTTGAGTTGTTAATTTGATCCCTAATAGTTTATTTATTTATTTATTTATTTATTTTGGGGGGAGTTGTTTTTAGTTTTTTAAAAGACAAGACAGACATTCTTTACTAATTCAGCTAAGTTACTGTTTGATTTAAAGACTTCAGGGCTATTTTTGGTTTAAAGATTATCTCAGAGCAATATAGTTTCAGAGTTCATATATCCTTAATGGCTCCAGAAATGCTGGATTCCATAAAAATTTTAAATTAGCTTCCATGCTTCCTTCTTTTTGACTAGGATTCTTCCATGGAGTCTTCAATCAAAACCTTCAGCAATGGTTGCCAGGCACCATCCAGTTCTTCTGGTCTCATGGCAAAAGATTTTCATAGAGGTAATTGGTCACACATTTCACATCCTCCTATTCCTCACTCTCCTTCCTTGTTTCTCCAGGTGAAGAGTGACAAGCTGTTGTGCTTTGGATGGCCACTTGCAAGCTTTTAAAACCCCTCAGCTAAAATTCTTGTAAGAAGTATACTCATTCACTCCCTTTTGTCTGGCTTAATACTTTCACCTGCCTGTCTCCACTTTACCAAAGATGGCCTTTCTCAACCTAACAGCTTTCTACTAAATCCAACAGATCTTTTCACTCCTTTTTTTACCCCTTGACTTCTTCCACTGCCTCCAATTTGCCATGTGAAATATACTGTGATCAATTTGGCCAAAGATCATCAACTGTCATGCTGGAAAGAGGTTCCTGCAGGAATTCTTTCCTGAGCCTGTGTTATTGTGCTCCTTTTGTAGCCACACAGCACTGACCCACTGTGCTGACACGGCTTATTTTATTTCCCCACAGCCTTCAATAGACTGCAAGGTGCATGGGGCAGGAACTCTACTAGCCTTCTTCATAAACTACTGTTGTTAAGTGCCGTGGAGTTGGTTTCAACTTACAGTGACCCAGTATACGGTTTCCAAGCCTTTAAGTCTTTTTCAGTAGCAGAAAGCCTCATCTTTCTCCCATGGAGTGGCTGGTGGGCTCAAACTGCTAACCTTGTAGTTTGCAGTACAGTGCTTATCCTATGGCAACACCATACTAATGTGCCAGACTGCAAAGCCATTTGGCAGTTCAAGCTTACCAGCTGCTCCTCGGAAACCCTATACAGGACAGGGTCGCTATAGGTTGGAACTGACTCGACAACACTTCACAACAACAACAAAGCTAAGAAAATATTCCTATTTACAATATTTAATACAACAAAATGAAAAATGAATAAATATAACTAACTAGAGCCCCCAGCTTACTTTAGGCCCATAGAAGGCCCCATCTCCAGGTCTGAGGTCCCAGGGCTCCCCAAATTCTTCCAGGGCCTGTTGAAGGGCCTATAAAAGTAATGAAATAAAAGAACATATCATCAAACAAAACAAAACAAAAAACATATCATCTTAGACTTTTAAGAACCACATAGCCCTCTATTCCTAACAAATGACTCCCTCAGAATACCTGAGGATCTCGGTTTGTTTCCCCTCCCCTTCCACGGCAGAGCACTTTATCTGCCTTTGCTTCCCTATCTCCTACTTACCTGCTCAGCCTGGTCCCACAGGCAAGACTCCCCTAGGAAGTCAGATGGCCGGGTGGACAGTGCCAGGCGAAAGGAGAAGCCAAGGACAGCATAGACAGAGCGGAGGAAATCAAGGCAGTCTCGGATCTCTGCTTCCAGCTGCAGGAAGAAAATAAGGATGAACTGTGCAGCGAGCTAGATGGGATGATGGTGGTTTAGAGAAAACAGGGCAGAAGCTAAAAGGTAGCAGAGAATCTGGGGTGGAATGTAGCTGAATCACAGTCTGTAAATAGCACAACTGAAGGGATACCGGAAGTTCAAAGGGAGAATGGAAAGCAGTTTTAAAATGCCCTTTAGTGGAAAAACCAACCCTGAAGTCTTCTCTTATTCAAGCAACAGAGTAACGGATTAGCATAGAATGAGCCTCTAAAGGGATGAAACTGACAACAGCAGTAGGAGAGGTAGTTAGGAAGTTTTTATGCTAATGATGGTGAAATCATTGAGAAAAGAAGGGTGAGAATAGTTGTACAACTTGACCAATGAAATTAAAATCATTGAATTGGACATGTAGAAATTGTTGAACTGGTTTATGTTTTGCTGCGTATATTTTCAAAACAACAAAGTAAATTATTAAAAGAAATAAATCAATAAAGAAAATGTTTTCATGAATCTGGGGAAGGGCCACCTGATCTGGGGTGCAGAAGATGTGTGCGTCATCCTGCTGGAAGCATCGCAGCCGAGTCAGTCCCCCAAGACTGCCAGAAGCCTCAGCACGGTGCAGGACCCCAAAGTCTGCCAGCCGTAGGGGCAGCTCTCGCCAGGATCTGGGCCGGTGGGCGAACATCAGGCTGAGGTTGGGGTGGGGAGAGTCAGGGGTCAGGATCATAGGAAAAGCCAGCCCCCGAAGACAGCTCCTCTACCCCGATTTTGGCATGTACTGCCACGGAGTCTTGTCAGTGCTGCTCACTGAAGCCTGGGCCCTGCCTGTTCCACAAGGAACAGTAACAACAACAGCCACTCAGTCACTGTGCCTGGATTCTGTGACAAGCACTGAGCTGAAACAGAAACCTTAGATAGAAAATTCAAATCCTTGATTTCACTACTAAGGAGACTGAGGCTGAGAGAGGGACAATGATTTTCCCAAGTTTCCAAATCAGGTGTCCCATTGTTCTTGCCAGGACCCTTTTTAAAATTTTTAATGTTTTATTGTGAATTATGTGATAGTTTACATGGGAGAACATTAGTTTTACATCCATCCTATCTTATATCGTTTCGTTGCCATGGTTACAATCCCCTCCATGCATCATCAACCAACCAAAGGGTATACCCTGTAAGCCTGCGCCTCCCCCTCCCCGGTCATCAGCATTTTCCAGGGTTCTTTTGATGACTGAACTTTTAATTTTCTTTGTATAAGTCCTTTGTTTCTCTGGTTATGTTTATTCCTAGGTATTTCATCCTTTGTGTGGCTATTGTAAATGGTATTGCTTTCCTAATGTCCTTTTCATCATTATTGCTGTTGCTATAGAGAAATCCAATTGATTTTTGTATGTTGATCTTATACCCTGCCACTATCTGAATCTTTCAATGAGGTCTAAAAGTTTTTTTACTGAGTCTTTGGGGTTTGATGACTGAACTTTTAAACTTAGCTGCTTTGTCCTAACCTGAGAAAAACCAGGCCTCCTGGATCCCAGCTCACCAGTGTGCCGGGCAGTTCATAGGTTTGAGGGCGAGTGTGGAGTGGTCTGTCGGGGAGCTGGCAGGTCTGTCAGAGCCAGAGGGCTGCAGGACAAACATGTCTTCCCTATAATGCTCCCAGTGTCCTGACTGTTCCCAGAGTTTTGTAGAAAACAGCATTGGGGTTTTTACTTCTGAGAAACCACGGCGGGCGTACTCAGCCTGGAGAAAAGGGAACACACATGGAACGTCAGAGTGACTGAAGGAGGAGGTAGAGCAGCAACTGTCTGGTTCTCGTACCATGTAGACCCCAGCCACACCTATGAGGTACCACCATGTTGCCCCTCTGGTCCCCTGCTGCAGATGGAACATTTCTAGGACCTTGAGAAAAGTCATCAGCACTTTACCATGCTTATATTCATGCTTCCAGTTCCTCTCTATGGACTTTTAACTCCTTGCCTTCTTCTAGCCCCCAGCGCTGCCCTGGTCTTTCGTCCCAGGGACTGGAGTCCTCTTACCCTGATAAAAGCCACCAGTGCATTATACACCCTTGTGCCTCGTGGCAGGAAGAAGCAGCTCCCAGGGCTCAGTTCATGGAAGAAGAAGAGCTCTTGTTCCTGGGTTCAGGAATGGCAACAGTCAGTTCTAGAGGGAAGCAGCTCTTTGGAACTCAGAATCTGAGATAACTGACTGACTGATTCTGGATCTGCGCCCAACGTCACAGTCAGGTTGCTTCATCTCTCTCCAGCCCTTGTCAGCATCCCTCCGTATTTTCCCAATCTCTGTACCTTCCCAATGCGCCGGTGGTCCCGCAATTCTGCTTCCTCCCTCCATTCTTCCCAAGCCTGCAGCCCCTCTGCTGTGGGGAAGGAAATCCCTGACACTCGCTGCAGAGTCTCTGGGGCCCCAGAAACCTTCCACAAGGATGAGGAGTTCTGTGGGATGAAAGAGAGAATCAAGGGGAAGATAGAGAGAAGTGAAGTCACCCCGACCCCGACCCCTCCCTTTCAACCCTAAAACGGTACTCTCAGTGTAATCATCACAGGTACACTGCTTGACAACATTCTCATTCTCACCTCTCTCCACCACTTCTCCTACCATCACCACCGCAGGGAGAACATCTCTCTTCTCTAGATCCCCTTGCCATGTTACTGGCCTGAGAATTGACTGACATATGGTTTCTACATATGTGCTGGTCAAGCCTTAACCTTGCCCTGCCACCTCTTTTTGTCCCTATTCTCACTACTACTGCTAGGACCCTTAACACTTACTTCTTTCCCCTCTAACCACTGGCTGCTCAGGAGAGTAATTTGGTTCTGGTCAAATGTCAGTCTATCCATCTCCTTATCAATCTCATATTTACCTGCTAGAAAACACAATCTCCCATACACAGAAATTCAAATGCCTCTCTCTGTTCTTTTACACTCCTTAACAACTACGAGAAGCAGCATGCATTTTATAGCGCTTTTAACTTCTTTCCAGGCACTTCCTCATGCAATAGTTGGTTTTCATTGTCTCTATAATGTAGATTTACTGGTAGAACAGGAATTAATAGCATCATATTATAGATGGGGAGAATGGGTAAGGAGATTTACTCAAGGCCACATAACCCCGTCATGGCAAAGGTAGGACTAAGTGCAGATGGCTAGGTTCTCTGTCATGGGCTTTGTGTTTGCAGTCCAGTGGACTATTTATATGGTCCTTCTAGCCATAGTCTTTATAATTCCCACCAAATGATTGCATGGGACAATGCAAACGAGGTGCTTATAGCCCACCAAGGGGATTGGATGGCTTGCTAATAAAGTATAAAAGGTGCATGGTACCTTTGGGAGGGTAGGACCATGTCAGTAAGGTGTATGGAACCCTAATGAAGGGGTCTGTCAGTTTTGCCATCCCACTTGGCTTAAATGAGAGTCAATTCCAAAGCAATGGGGGAACTTCACGACCACTAATAGAAAAGCCAGGAGGGGAGCTAATCATTTGAACCTAGGGACCCTGTGCTGGGAACCTCTTAGAATTAGGCATCACAAAGAGTGAGAGGTAATGGACAACAGCAAGTGACAATGTCAAGTAGCAGCAGCAGCAGAACCAGAAGACCTGTGAGAAAGCTGAATACCTTCAGGCAGGGCGCTTGCTGGCTGAGTGGGGTGCCTCTATGCATTTGACAGTGGAGACACAGAGCTAAAAGTTGAAGCACTTGCCTGAGAAGGCTCCCAGCAGGATCCAGTGACAGAGGCAAGAAGAAACTGTCCTAATGAAGAACTGTATTCTAAATTGATCCTGATCCTGAGCTGTACCCTGTTACTTCTCTAATAAACCCTATAATTGAGGATGGTCTGTGAGTTCTGGATGCCACTGCAATAAATTATCTATTGAACCCAGAAAGAACGTAGAATACCATGGGTGGCATGGATAGCGTCAGAATCTGTAAAAAGGTTGGAGGGTAGCAGCCCATCTGACCTCTACCTCATAGAGACAGCCTTAAGTTGTTGATCTTGACTCTCCTTCCCCCTAGTAAAGTGAGAGGAGGTCAGATGCCTCCCCAATTACACCATTTTTATAGCATTCTACACATCTGCCTCTCTCCCCACTGCCTGTTCTCATTCCATCTAACAATTCACCCTGCTGAGGAACAGTATTTTCATAAAAGGCATGTCCTTGACTTAAGGCATTCTCCCTGTGCCTGTCAAGTAGTGCTAATCATCATGTTGGGCCATTCCCTCCCCCACAGGAGCCGTTCCCAAGTGACCCTACTCATGCACTCCCTTGATAGCTCTCTTAGCAACGATGGCTAGTAGCTGCCATCAGATGGGGAGTTTCTAGAAGGCAAGGTCTGAGTTTCTCTTTCTTTCTGGATCCCCCTTAGCTATCAAAATAGAGACGGGACTGAGAGACAGGCTCACCTCCCCATTCCTTTGAAAACCTAACCTAATCCAGTGAAAACCTAACCTAACCGTGCCTTCACAACTGACCGTTAGCAACTTCAGGCCTCCAATCAGTCCAGTATGCCGAAGATGGGGGCCCTGGCAAAGATCAACCAACATGCCACACCTGGGAGAAAAAAGGGGCCAGTGAATGGTTTCCAAATGTTTGGGCTTCTAGTTTTCTCCTCTCATTGTCTTTTGCTGACAGAAAGAGCTGGTGAAGAGAAGTTGTTCTACAGATGGAGGAAGAAGACATTAAAAATTAATTACTTGCATGAAGGGGATTGTAACCATGGCAATGAAACGACATACAACAGTATGAATGTAAAACTAATGTTCTCTTGTGTAAACTATCACATAATTCACAATAAAACATTAAAAAAAATAATTACTGTTCTCATTTCTTTCTTTGGAGAAATAAAGGTTACCTTCTATTCTCTTTCCCTTATCTCATTTTGGCCTTCTTTACTGCTTTGTTTCCCCAGTCTTGACTCTCACCCATATACTGTTGCTACTGGACTTGTCACTTTCTCCTCAATCAGTCGAAGCTTAAAGGGGTTATCCTGGAAAAAGGCAGAAAGGAAGAAGAGTAAAGACAAGCATTTATTACAACAAAGAGCCATAGTTTCCCTCATGCTTCTGGTTTTGCTGTGCGTCTCCACCCTACCTTAAAAAGCTGGCAAAGCTGATCCCTGGAAACCTCTAGTCGCCTGAAGGGTAGAGCAGCAGCTGCAAGTTCCCGGCAAATCTGTTCCAAAACAGGGAGTTCTGAGCCCTGGACAGTCCTGGAAAGAGGAAAGCTGGTTGGCTTTAAGAAGCATCACCTGACCTTGAGGTTGGGAGTGGGAGTTGAAGTCCTGCGCTTTTATCAATGGAATTAATGATTAAAAACAGATTCAGAGGAAATAGATAATCAGGTAGATTTTACAGCTAGACAAAAAGCTCTCTATGTATGAAACCCAAAGTTGAGTGCAAAGGTAACACGGTTGGACAAAATTAGAGCAACTGTAATGAGGAGATGACATAAAACTCGATTAATTTATAAGGGTAAATTCTTCATAAAGAAGACAAGTTTTAAGAAGCATTACACACAAAGGATACTAGTGAAGGAGGTAGTACCAGTGTCACAGTTAAGGCCTGGAGAAGAACTGTAGTAACACTAATGGTAAGACAATGACAGACACTGAGTTTTTATCCAGTAAGTATCTTATAGGAAAGTGATAGTGGCAAGGGCAGGAAAGGTTACAGGGTATCTCCTTCTAAGCTTGGAGACTGTCAAACCCAGTGGCACTCTCAGTTCTGGCCAGGGCGCTATGTGATGCTTCGGTAGTCTCCTAGTTTTGTCCTCCAAATGGAACATGCCTAGAGCATCAGAAAAGGGCCTCATAAAGCACCCCAGAACCATTCTCCTTCCCTGCACTACTCACCGCTCTTTTCCCAGGAAGAAATCATGGTAGAAACCACATTCTGTACTTGGACCTCGACAGAGGATAGCCCCTAGGAGCTGCTCAGCTGCTGCCCCCAGGACATGAGTGCTGGAGTGCCAGAACACCTGGGTTTAAAAGAAAAGCATTTATGAGCTTGTAACCTTCTCCCTTTCCCCAGCTTGCTCTCTCATAAGAGAGGCTGGTAGGAAAGCCAGTAAGGCTCTTCTAAGAATCACTACCACAAAATGAAGAACCTACTAGACCTTGAGGGTGAATGACAGTATAAAAAACTAACTCAAGAGAAAAGAAAGCAGAAAGAAATCCAATGTCCTAGAGTGTAGAGGCAGGAAGCATGTCAGTGTCCCTATATCATCTATGACAATGGCTCCTTAGGTTACTGCTTGGTCTTTAGACCTTTGTGTTTCCTATCCCAGGGTTCTAGTATGATGTAATACATCTGTATGTATGGCTTTAGACACCAAACATAGATGACATGACATCTCCATTTCTCTGGAGTCTAGCAGATGAGGTCTGCATTACCTCAGCTGACATGAAGAGGACAAATGAGAAGGTGGACAGGCTGTGTGCCCAGAAAGCCATATTAGGATTAGACATACACTACCAGCCGCTACGTGGGAGAAAGGTGAGGCTTTCTACTCCCGTAAGGATTTACACCCTTGGAAACCCTGTACAGGGTCGCTATGGGTCGGAACCGACTCGATGGCACTTAACAACAACAACAACAATGGAGGAGTTATAATATACGTTCAAGAGTTAGGGGGACCAAGTTGGTGCACTATCCTTCTGTTTTTCAACTTATCCCTCCCTTTTATTAACACAAACGATGTCTGCTTAATAGATCCACGTTATGCCCTATGTATAAAATTTCATCACAGGTTTCCAACTTAGGCAGGAATATGTAAGACAAGTACAACCTATTGGTCTCTACTCATCCAGGACAAAAGAGAAAAAAACAATAACAATGACTCAGAAGAGCAAATATTATATAGTTAATAGTTTACGAGAACTACTGTCTCATCTACCCTGAGACCAGAAGAGCTAGATGGTGCCCAGGACTTTTCAGACCAGTGTCACAACAGATGGATTCTTACAGAATGGGAGAGAAAAATGGTACAGAACTCAAATTCTCAAAAAGTCCCCATTTATTGGACCAGTTAAAACTAGAGGACTCCCCAAGACTACTGTCCTGAGATGTATTTTAGACCTTAAGCCAAAATTATCCCTTGAAGTCACCTCATAAAATAAAGAATGTCACTCATGAGTAATGAGCTTTTCTAAAGAGTCATCTATATGAGATCAAACTGTCAAAAATGACTACAGTAAAGACAAGATGGCCAAGATCTGAGAAATTACAATATTGGAAAGGGTATATCCAGAATAGAATGAATGAGAATAATGACATAGTGAAAAATGTAACCAGTATCATTGAATTATTTGTATGTTTGTTGTGAAGTGCTGTCAATTCAGTTCTGACTCATAGAGACCCTGTATAAGATTTCCTAGGAGAAGCTGGTGAGCTTGAACTGCCGACCATGTGATTCAAACCAGGTCCAGCAGATTAATCTGCAGCGCCACACCAGGAACCTAACTTTGTGGGTAAACATTCACTTTAAATGCAATGTTGTTGTTGTTGTTAAGTGCCGTCGAGTCGGTTCCGACCCATAGCGACCCTGAACAGGGTTTCCAAGGGTGTAAATCTTTACGGGAGTAGAAAGCCTCATCTTTCTCCCACGGAGCAGCTGGTAGTTTCGAACCGCTGACCTTAAGGTTCGCAGCCCGAGTCGTAACCACTACGCTACCAGAGCAATAGTACTTTAAAAAAAAAAAAGAAAGACATGAAGTCTGTGGTAGGTCTCTCTCCAAACTGTAAGTGGAGAAAAATGCTGGAAGCTCTTGCTTGCATATCTTATAGTTTAGTAGCAGTCTCAGTATTCCTGATAAGGAAGAAACTTACCGCTTTCCCCTCTGGAGAATCAAATGTCACAAATCTGATGTCACAATCTGTCTCTAAGGGTCGATCCAGATCATAAAGTTCTCCATTTACCTGCGCTGCCACTGCAGTATTTGCCAGAGTTGAACTTTAGTGATGATGAATAAGAGTGAGGAAAAAGGCAGTCACAAACCACATTAGTAGAGAGGGACTCATTTTTAGTATTCCAAACCTGTAGTAGCACGTATCATTTATTTCCCAGTGGTTATCGGAGAACAAACTCTGAAACTAATGCAGTTAAAACAAATCTTCAAGAAAGACTATCTTGAAGGGAATAGACTATAAACACTGAGTCCCCCCACCCCCCACCCACTCAGATCCAGAGGAAGTACAGAGGCAGAAGGATGATCCCAGGAGGTACAGGACAGGGCTGGTACCTGATCTGCTGGGCTAATTGGTAAGGGGTTGTGTTCCATGCCACAGCATCCACTTTCTGGCCTGCAGGAAGTGATATTTTAATAGTCCGACGTTCTTTTTGTGCAATGTTTGTTGACCTCTTTACCTGAGCAGCCCATAGCTCCTCAAAAAGACAAAGCCGCTCTGCCAACCAGTGTGGAGGTGTCGGCACAGCTGCCTGAAGTAAGAGATAGGTTAGGAGTTAAAACAGAGCCATCATTTCATTTTGAGACTGGGGATGGTGGTAGATTAGGCTATTTAAACGGCATTGGTCCTAATCCCCAGTCTTTAAGGGGATCGGGAGGAGCACAGGGCCCTAGGTCGGCGGTCCTGAGTCGTACTGCACCCCCCCCACCCCCCAGACTGTTGACCCCTGGAGGCAGATATCGTATCTATGGCTAGAGTAGCCCCGTCCAGGGACTACTAAGGCTGGTTTGAGACTCTACATAATAGGGTTCAAATGCACTGAGACCGATGCGGATCGGAGCCTTTAGCTATCTCACGCACCGAGTGCAACCCGCAGGCTTGTAACACTGGGAGCCGGATTCGGAGCCGAGGCCACGTTTGACAGAGGCCCATATTCCTTCAGACCCGAGCCCACATTCCCAGAGTATCGCCGCTTTTCCCTTATGAAATTTTCATTGGCTTCTGACCCAACAATATCCCTGACTAATGGTTGTCGTAGCCGCCAATCTTATCTAGACCCACCTACAGGAACTCCGAAGAGGTACGCCCCTACACAGCACTAGCAGCTACGCAAGTGGTTCCGGTTACCCGGAAGACCCAAGCAGTTACACACACTAGCAATCGAGCATCCTGCTGAGTTTCAGAGGAAACCCCAAAAGAGCAGTAAAGTACCCTGTGGCTTGAGTACAGAAATAGAATTCTTGGGGGCGTGAATAGTGGAAAAACTGACCAGAAACGGTGGCTTGGCAATTTATTTTTAACCATACATTTTCTTTTACAGGGCCTTCACCGACAGGTTGTTGTTGTTGTTGTTGTTAAGTGCCGTTGAGTCAGTAGAAAAGTTAAAATCTAGGTATGGCTTTGTAGCCAGACCAACCTAATGGATCTGCCACTAAGTAGTATGCAATTTGGGGCATAGTATTTAATTTTTCAATGCCTCAATTTCTTCATATAAATTGCTCATTCCTATAAAATGGGACTAGTATCTATTATTATCAATTATTGAGGTTAATTTTAAGTAAACAATCTGGTATGTTGTATGGTATATGGTAATGAGCAACAACAAGCTATTAGAATGAATGACTATAAGTACAGGACTGTAGCAAAGAGGGCATCTCTTAGGAATCTTCTCATAGCAGGGTTTAAGGAACTTCAAAGCCCAAGCCAAACACACTGCCATCACGGCGATTCCAACTCAGAGAGGCCCCGTAGAACAGAGTAGAATTGCTCCTGAGGGTTTCCAAGACGGCAAATCTTCACAAAACTGGAAAGCTTCATGTCTCTCCAGCAGTGGCTGATGGATAAGAACCGCCACTAGGGCTTCTTAAGAGGGTACTTAAAGACCTATTAATTTTATAGATAAGAATTCATGGTCTAACAGTAAGTGCTGATGCTGGCTTCTGAATCCAAGTCTTGTACTCATGCTCTCTGTAGTAATTAGTTTACTATCAAAAAATAGAGGGGCCTGACCCTAGAGCCGTAACTCTCTGCCTCCTATACTCATGTAAGTCCTCTGCCTCTCATTCTTAGCTTAGATCTCAACTTTCTTTATATTCTTTCTCTTACCTGTCCCTGCTATAACTAAGACACAGCACTAGATATACTTGATTAATTTTATACAGTAAAATTGAAATATGATCAATTTTGTAGTAAAGTATGAGGGGAATGGACTTGGGAGAGCAGCTTTGAGGTTCTCAGTCATTCCCTCCAGTCCCCTACCTGGGGATGGGGATGGTTAAGAGTTGGTTCTCAAGTTTCAATGGTGATGGGATCAAGGGTTGTGGAAGAAGTGTTGTCAAAGGAAGCTGAATAATCTAGATCTCCACAGAAGCCAGAGGTTCTGTCTTGGGGGAGGGCAGCAGCAGATCTGAGTCACAGGCACCACTCTGGATCTTGGCTCCATCTTCTGGTATAGTTGTTGAGTGCCGTCGAGTCGGTTTCGACCCATAGCAACCCTGTATAGGGTTTCCAAGGAGCAGCTGGTGAGCTTGAACCACTGATCTTGTAGTTCAAATTATTTTGTACTCTGATGCATTAGTCCCCAGTGCCACACCAGGACTCCATCTGAAATACAAAGAGAGACAAGACTGATTGTGGGAGAAGTTACTTTCATGTGTGTGTGGTGGGGAGAAGGTAGTGAGATTTTTAAAATGGCATTCAGAAAGTGTGGTAACAGGCAGGACTCTACTGGAGGGTGGTATATTTCAGGCAACAAAATGGAAGGTACCCAGTAAATATTGAATTAAGAATGTATCTATTATTGTATTGACTGGAAGCTCCTCGGGATACAGTGACACACACTTTATTCACCTGACCTTGCCTTGTCCTCTTTTGTTAGCATAGTAGAGGGATGGTGGAATAACAACTAGGTTATTCTGAACTGGAAGCTCTCTACACTCATCTCTCAAACATTTACCAACTGCTTACTGTGTGCAATAAGCATTGAGCTGGATGCTGTGAGGATGCCAACCAAGAACTACTACATCACCACCTATGTAAGGAGTGTTGATGTGGAGGAAGGAATGTCAAGTTACTTCATCTCTCCTCCTGTAGCAAGCAAGAGCAAACTAGCCAAGGCCAATTCATTAATCACTGGTTCTTCTACAACTTCTGACTTGTGACTAGCATATGCCTCAGCCGCAGGGAATTTTAACCCGTTAGCCTGCCTGGGGAACTACTATTCATAAAATAACTTACACCTCCTTCCCAGACCCAGAATACCACTGAACACTTACTATGTGCCAAATGCTAGGCCTTCACTCTCAGTTAATTCATACACAACTTTGACAAGTAGTACTCTTATTACAACCCTTTAAAACATGGAAACTGAGTCTCAGAATTCCAAGTCTGTGTTTATATCACACTATGCTGCCTCTAGGGGCCAGATTAGTATAATTCAAGTATAGTAGCACAGTTCCCTTTTCCTTACCAGGATTCACTCCCTAGAGGCATTAGGGCCAAACCCTTAAAGAGATGGGTCCAATTAAAAAAAAAATTTTTTTTTTCTTTTTTCTCTCACATACTAAGATTCAATAACAGGTATACATGGAATAATGTCAAGATTTCATAAAAGTTCAGGGAAAAGGGGAACCTCACTAAATGTCTTAGAACCTGTCACATTTTGACAAATTATCAGCTTTAATTCACTTTTGGTGACAGCCCAGGCTCCCTAAACCCTTGGTGAGGAGGTATTGTTTTTATAGCTCTAAACCATTATGCAGGTAAGCTCTCCACTGCAAGTCCATTTCCACTTGTAATCAGAATCAGTGCACACCTCCTCTATATCTACCTCAGGCTCTTAGAAGCAAATCTCCCGTTTGCCTTGCACCAGAGAGAGAAATTTTTCCAAAAGTAAGACATAAGGTTTGTTATTACACTAAATGGTTTTGAGGCCCAAAGAAGTGGCTAAAGGCAGTAGTGGTTGATGTGGAGGTTACATTTATTTTTTAAAAAAACCTTAATAGTAATCTAAGTAGTTAGTTCTAGAATGGGGCTAAACTTCTACCTAACTGGCTTGATGATACCTTAATGGAAATAATATTTCCCATTCCTAAACCATCTCTTCATTACGACAGTGAGAAACAAGGAAGCAAAGCCCACACCTGACTTGCCAGCTCAGGGGAAAACATAATGAACTCTTCTAGCTCCAGCAGTCAGTGCAGGGACATGCCAACTCTGGTTCTACTAGATGTTAAAGTAAAAACAAAGAAAAGGGCAACGTGCTCTACAAGAAGGACCTGTATAGAATTCAATATACAACTAAAAGGCCCACTCAATAACCATGATTTCAAATAAATCCTCTGCTAAGCTCTACAGCCCTGGCAATGACTGACTACCTAGAATATTTGAGACCCAAACACTGTGGGCTAATGCACTGGACTGCAGTCAGTGTAAACTACGAGGTCAGTGGTTCAAGCCCACCAGCTGCTCCTTGGAAACCCTATACAGGGTCACTGTAGGTTGGAACCGACTCAACAGCACTTAATAACAAAGTGTTTTATTATGTAGGCACAAAGGTCTTCTAGCCAGAGGAAGGGGGAAACAGGGCCCTTCCCATCTTTCTTTTTATTTATTCCAACAGAAAGGCCCCAACAAAAATGCAGTAAATTCCAAGTCCTCTTATCTCTACTTTTTTCACAGATCATGGAGCAGAGGATTCATAATCCTCATGAACAATGGAATACAAAGGGGAGAGGTGCAAGGAAGTAAAGTTGCTGGAATATGCAATTTGCTGTGAACCTGAACAGATGCAGGCGGATTTAACCAACACCCTTTGAGTCAAATGCAAACTGAAGCCTGTTATTTTTGTTTTCTCAATTGACACTGCAAAGAGCTAGCCATCCACCCCGCTTCCCCCAACTTATTTTCTCAACTTTCGGCTCTTGGTAGGATGGGGGACAACAAAGGGGAGGGGGAAGCAAATGTAAAGTAGCCATAGTATTAATTTCTAAATAATATCTTTTCCCCTTCCCTCAAAGTTACCTAAGCATAAAAGTGTTACTTGTTTCACCCTGCTCCCCCTCCCAGTGTTAGAACTTTGATGGTTTTATGCTTTTGCCTTTTTCCTTGAAACCATGTGTGCTTCTCTTTAACTTATACATGGGGGAAGGGAGAACAGGATGTTTACTTAAGGGCAGCTATCTCACTTACGGGTGGCCCTCTTGACTTGTCTATGTAGCCTCAATGAGTTATTACTCAGCAATTGTGAATAGCAGCTGACCAGACTTGTCTATACAGTTACTCATAAACAAGGATGAGAAATGCCCCAATACCCTAAAGAGTGCTATGATGGTGTTACTATGTCTACAAACATCAGAGGTAACTCATGTGTCCTGTGCAAGATTGGCTTAAATAATACAATTTAGGAGGAAGAAGTTAAGCATTTTCAACATGTCCAGAAAGGCCTCCTTGGGGGTGATGACAGGAATCAGGTGGGTATGTCTGGTCCCAGGAGGGGACAAGGAAGAAAGGGTGAGCCAGATTCCAGAAGCAGCCAGTACGGTGGTACACCCTACCTGATTGGGTGTGTTCTTAGGCCACTGCTATTTCTGCACTGTTTGGTGACACATGTATGTAGCTTCACGTAATCAAAGCTGCTATTTCGTGTTCTACCCTGCCAGTGACCCAGACCTGGCCCAGATTCAGTGACTATCTCTCTAAACTCCGTAAAGTCAACATTCCATTTATTAAACCTCACTGGGTTATTAAAAAATGGGGTTAAGAAAGGAGGGTTAAGTGCAGCTCTGCATTTCATATTACCAACATGTAGTAAGAAAGGTGGATGTGGGGAAAAGACCAGAAGGACCCCCCGTAACTATCCCAAATTCTATGCTTGCTTTAAATTTTCTCGGCTTACAATTATACAACTTCTTGAAAACATACAAATGATCTAC